CGTGTAGGCTGCGGAGGAGAGAACCGAACCGTCCCGTCAGGATCGCCCTGCTGCTTCCCCCCGCCCCGCCCAGGAGGGACCTCACGCCCCACAGAGGGAGGGCCCGGGGCTGAGTTCGCAGGGACTGGGCCTCCGAGCCTGGACAGAGGGGATCGGAGCGATTGTTTGTACCACTCTGCGGCCCAGACGCGGGAGGGACCGAGTTCAAGCTGACTTCGTCCACGCCCCGGACCAAGGGTGGAGAGTTCGCTGGCCAAGATGCTGGTCTGCAGTGGACGCCCCGGTCCAGGTTAACTCCGCGCCTCCACGGCCACTGAAACTCAGAATGTCCCCCAATAGCTCACGTCCACTGACGACGAGCCAGGTATAGCCCAGCAAGCGCGCACCGACCTCGGCCGCGGTGCGGCGCACCCGGAAGTGCGTCATGCGTCGACGCGCCGGACGGGATGACCCTAGAAGAAAACTACACCTCCCAGAATTCTCTGCGAAGGACTCCGCTAACTGGCCCAGCTTCCAACACGAAGGCGAGTTTGCGAAGAGGGGCGCAGCCTAACGGGAAAGGCAGGCGGGCGGGCGGGGTTCCACGAGTGGCCTCGGGTACGTACGCCCAGGACTCCGCAACACCCCAACTCCTGCACAGCGCACTCAGTCCCGGGAAGAGTTCGGCCTCGGCGGAAGGGGGAGGCTTGCTCAGGTTTTGATGTCAAGATAGGTTGCAGACCACAAGGCACAGCAGAGAGGGACACCGTGAGGCTACAAGCTGCGGTTCCCAAGGTCGTGAAACGGTTTTGATAATCAGTGCACCAAATAATACAGTTAGCAACTTAATAAAGGAGAAACTACAGTAGATAAAAGGAGAAATAAATAGAAGAACACCAATAATAGGAGATATTAACATACTTCTCTCTGTCCAAGACAGCTCAAGCAATCTCTCATAACAATGCAACAAAACTATAAATAGCATAATTTAAAAAGGACTTTCTGGCTGAATATCTTTTTAAAAAACTTTCTATTCAAATGCTGAATAAAATAGGGAACTACAGGTAAAATTTTAGATAACAGTAAGAATTCATGGGAAAACCTTAACGCAGTGATGACAGGAAATTTTAAACTCGAGTAGTTATAACAGTAAAAATAAAACAAAATAAGTGAATTTAATTCTTATAAAGCCATTAACACCAAAGTAAGCCAAGAGAAAACAAAGGAAATTTAAAGATAAAAGCAAATAACTGTTAGCAAGAACAGAAAGGACTCAAATGATATTAGGAATCCACTCAAAGTTATTGACATAGAACACTAAAGTATGTTATATATGCATAACTTTTATCTGCACGTGGAACATTATCCAGAATTAGTCACAAAATATTTCTCAATGTATTTAAAAGGGTTGAAATCATGCAATGTTTTCTAACAATGGCGGAATTAAATTAGAAATCAATCCCAGAAAAAAATGCAGTAAATCTCCATAGATTTCGAAATTTAAAAAACGCTTTTAAGTAACCCCTTCTCAAAGAAGAAATCAAAAGGAAAATTAGAAAATAATGTGAACTACATTAAAATGAAAATGCATATGAGATCACATACTATTTATCTGTTTTATTTTACTTAGCATAATGCCTTCAAGGTCCATCCGTGTCACATTCTCCCATTTTTTGATTAAAAAAAATTCTAGTATTTTATATTTATTTTTAAAATGATTTATCAAGTTTAGTTTTCCTATTTTAATTCCTCAAGTTCTGCTATCATATTCATTACTTTCCTTCTCTTTCCATAACTAGATTTAATTTCTCCCTAAATATCTAATTTTATTTGTATTCCTTTTGCTTGCACTGTTGGATGGCATGAACTAAAACATACCTATAATACTTTCATTTTATAAATTACTTTGATTTATAATCAAAAATGGAAATGATACATAAGTTTCCCCTGGTGACACATTTACTGTTGGCTCACAAACACATTTTGAGCGGCAGCACAGACGGTACCCCGCGTCCGTGGGTTCTCGCACTTCCAGGCGGCGGCAGAGGGGCTTCAAACCGCCAACCTGTTAATCCAGCTAGGCGCACCGCAGAGCCCTCTGGGAAGTGTGGTTATGGGACGCGCGGAACTCTGGGAAATGTAGTTCCGCGCGGACATTTCCGCCGTCGGGTTGTGTCAGTTTAGGTGCTGCGGCCCCAAGGGGTAAAAGTGTTGGGGGTGGGGGGCCGATGGTGAGGCTGCGGCCCTGGGGGCACCCTCCGCTACTGCCGCCATCACGCGGTGATCCCGGCGCGGACCGGCTCGCGGCGACCGCGACGCGCGCAGGAACTGGCCCCGGAGCTGGCGCAAGGAAGGCCCGGGAGGACGGCCCCGCAGCGCACGCGCCGAGTCCGGTCCAGGTGGGATGGGGGTTGGGGGGCGGCGCGGGGGCGGGAGGGAGCAGGATGGGGGGCAGCGTTAGGGAACTGGGGCTCTGTAGGAATGGGGGGCAGTGAGTGTGTGCGTCAAGAGAGAGACTTGGCCCGCCCCTGGTGATGGGTGATGAGGGGACCGTGAGGGAGACCGTGAAGTTGATTCATTTTGGGACACCTGAGAGTTGAGGTGTTGGAGTGCCTGTAAAAATCAATAACTGGGCGCTTGGGAGGCGAGGAGCAGTTTTGAAGCCAGTGGAGGGGATTAATCGGGTGATGGGCCTCTGGGGTGTTTGGGGGGCAGTCCATAGACTCGTGGGGTTGGCCGTTGTGGGGGAGAGGCGGAGGGAATTGGGAGTGAGGGAGCCCTGGAGGCTGCCCTCTGGAGTGAGTGGGGTGAGCGTGAGCCGTTGGGGATACCGGCCACCGGCTCCTTGTTGGAATAACCGAGAGCTGACGGTCAGTGTTTTGGATGCCATTGGATTGGCTATTCGGGCCGGTAGGAATGAATGGGCACAGGGAGGGCTCAGCGTCGTCGGACTGCGGATTTTTCATTGACTGGACGGCGTACTGGTTGTGGCGGTGTTGCGTTTGACCTGAGCGCTGTGCTCCCGGGAAACAGAGTTAAATCTCCCACCCGGTGTCCCAGGAAACGGCTTCCTGCAAAGAACCCGGTTCCTGTCTGACTGGATGAGACTCACACATGCCCCTGTTGACTTATGACTAGGCCAGACACCTACCTTCTAAGATTTAGGACCTCTTCCTGCCCTGGATGTCCTTGCTGTGTCCTTTGCCACTATTTCGGTTCAACATTCAAAATCCAGCCTGTCTTTCCAGACTGAGTGTGATTCTTGACTGTCCCACAAGGTCCTGGTTACCTTGTGGACATTGGGACCTGTCTCCCCTCTTACTGACAAAGAGGGAGACATTTAAAGCTCTCAGATGAGGTCAGAAGCAGCCCCATGTGGTCAGATCAATGCTAAGCAGTATTCAGGTGTTTGGTTTCCACGCTGCTGACAGCAGTGGAGGGTCCTGAGCCTGTGGTGACAAAGGCAGCTCTGTCCAGTCCTCGGCCCAACACTGGGGCTGGGCAGTTACTGCCTCAAAGGAGCCATGTTCTGTCTCCACTCTTGTTAACTGCCCTGGGGCAAAAACCAGGTGTGACCTGTTCCCCTCATTTAGGGCAGATGAATAGACACTGCCGCCCATCTCTCTACATTCACTGGAACACTGAAGACACCTTCCCCAGCTTTTAGTGCAAGAGCCTCCAGACCAGCACCTCTTGCCCTGGGCCTGCTGCAGGCAGCACAGTGTCTCCTTGCTCACTTGGTTTCTGGAAAGGCGCCCACTGACCTGTCCACCATGTTCAGTCTTCCTAGCCAGCCTGTCAGCCTGTGGAGCCCGAGCCAGGGCACTGGAAGCTTAGGAGGTGCCTGGCCATGAATCCCAGACCACAGGCGGAAACCACATGTGCTGGACAAGCCTTAGTTGGCAGGATTGCTAGGAAAGCTGGAATTTGTCCCTCTTGTCCCCAAGTTCACTAGGTACTGAGTTTTTTGGACATTTCCTTTCAGGTTTATTCTTGTGAAGGCAACAGCCCTGTGGCCCATGAAGATTTTGGCTCTGATCCCGCATGTGGCTGAGCGTAAGTTGCCCGGGCACGAACAGCAAAAACATTTAAAGTGTGAGTATTTATATGCATCGAGATGTAGTACGTTTTATTTATTATAATTTTCTTAAATCGGTTAGTTTGTCTCAGCAATTCTGCCAAAGATGATATCTGTTATACAATTTGTGCCTTTTTAAAAAGCTTTAGAAATAGTGGTTGTGCTCAGTTATCTGGTTATTTGGCCTGTTAGGGAAATAATTAAAACCATAACCTGCAAACTCAGAAAACTGCTCCACAAAAGTAGAAGAGAAAGAAAACAGTTTTGTTAATGAACAAAAATTAAACCAGAATGTGATGAGTGTCACAGGCAATCTGCTAGGGATTGCAAGGAAAAGAAGAAAGCTCACAGGTAGAAACAACTCATCACACACACACATTTGTCACACACAGTTTATACTGAATTTACCGGTAAGTGGGGTGACCATCTGTATTAGTTGATTGCCTTTATCCAAAGGAAAAACCAACCTTTCATCTCTTTATGATGGGAGGTAGTTTGACAACCTGGAGCTAGGTGCCAGAGTCAGGCTGGTTGGGCTCCAGCCTTCACAGAGACTGGGAGATAGGGCGGGTCTTCCTGGATGATCAAGGACCTGGCTCCCAGGTCCTAAAGAATGTCATTTTGGGGTTAAACTAGAAAGGGCTTACTTAGCTTTAGAAAAGAGTCACAAGCATCTCAAAAGGGCAGAGAAAGAATTTACAATTACATGTTTTTGAAAGCAGGGGTCCCCAACCTGGAGTGGTACCTGTCAGTGGCCTGTTAGGAACCAGGCTGCACAGCAGGAGGTGAACAGTGGGCAAGCGAGCAAAGCTTCATCTGTATTGGCAGGCGTTGTCCAGCGCCAGCATCCCACCTCAGCTCCACCTCAGGCCATCAGGCCTTAGATTCTCATAGGAGCATCAGTCAGTCCCTGGTGCCAAAAAGGTTGGGGACCACTGACTTAGACAATGTGCTTTCTTCCTGCCAGATTTCTTTCCCTTTTTTACACGAGGAAAAATCAGGCTGTTTTTTTCTTATTGTTAATTTATATTTGCCCTTAGAGGTCTCTGAGCTCATTAGCGAGTCTCCTACAAACTCTGGTAACTGTCGTTGGGAAGGGCTGAGACTGGGCCTTTGAAGCAGAGAGTGGGGAAGGGACCCCAGGGCCAACAGCTTGGACCCTACAGAACCACTGGACAGCCCTGTGTCCCACCACCCCTCCAAGCAGGTCCTCAGGTCGGGGATCAGAGACCCTTAGAAAGAAGCTGATTGTGGAGAGGTCCCTGGGTACGGAGGGCAGGGAGAGGTGAGTCGATGCCCAAGGCAGTGGGCAGCCCTGGCTGTTTCCATGGTCTGTCACACAGCAGGATTTTGACCTGCCTCGATGACCCCTGGAAACCCATGGCCTGAGCTGTTCCTGCCAACTTCTGAGGACAGGGCAGGGAGCATCTGTCGTGGTATGAGCTGAGAAAGAAGCGACATTAAAGGTTTCCTTAGGTCCCTTCTTGCTGCCGTCTGTCACACCGGGTGGTCAGCTTCTGCACAGCCTGTCTGCCCATCCCCCTTCTTGTTCTGTTAGCTCCTCTGAGCCACGCTTCCCTTGGGCCCCAGGGCTGATTTGGAGTGGAGAGCCAGCACCTCAGGCTGCGTCACTGTCTTGAGCTAAAAGCCCCTTTTTGTTTAGCCTGTCTGGAAACAAAGTGCATTTTACACGATGGCACCGATGAAGGCGATTTCACTCAGGTGCCCCCAGAAAATGTGGCTGCAGATGAGCCAAGATTGTTGTTTCAGACTTTGTCAGTGCCTCTGCAGAGCCATCGTGTGCTGGTGCCCCTCTGGTGTGTTCAGTTGGACTAGTGAGGCGAGTGCTTCATCTGGCATGTCCCAGCGGGAGCCAGGGCAGCAGGGTGCAGTGTCAGGCCCAGCGGCTCCCACTGCATCCTGCTCTGGGTTGGACTCCAGCAAACGACTCGTCTGAGTTCCCACTAAGAGAGAACCAAGATTTAGGTTCCCAGATGAATTACACTGTCCAAAACAAAATTCCTCCTGCATCTCCAGGACCTGGCTGTCAGGACGAGATGACTCGTGCGAAATAAGGAAGGAGAGGCGCCAGGGCCGGAGGCGCATTCCCCGTGGACACGCCGTGACCGGACGCCCATCCCAGAGCGTCCAGACGGAGGGAAGTCCCAGAAGCAGCAGAAAATGATCGTGTCACAGGTGAGTTGTTTGTGGGGATGTGATGAGGCGTGCAGAAACCTCTAAACCAAAGGCAAAGCCTAAATACATTTAAATCATAACCAGAGAAAAATAAACCTGGGAAAGAAGATGTCAAAAGCACGAGCGGGTTGCAGAATCATACAAGGCTTAACGCTGGCACGCGAATGTGTAAGACACGAGGTCCTTCACTGTTAGGGTTGAGCTGCAGGCTTTGCTCAGCTCTTCCCAGAAGCCGTGACCGAGGGGACAGGAGCAGTTAGGAAAGGCAGAGCAGTTCCTCGGTAGAGGCAGAGCTTTCCGATGCTTCCGTACGAGACGTGTCGATAGCTGCTTACGTAGCCGGTGTTGTGGACGAAGCCCTGCGCAGCAGGCCTGTAGTGAACGCATTCCTACAGCTGTCTTAGGGAGTTCCTCGGCATAAGCCAGGGGCGGGAACGTGAAGGACAACTGAGAACACGCTGGTCAGAGGACAGAAACGGGGCCTGGGGACACGTGCTGCCTAAGTTCTGGTTTTAGGAAAGAAACCCAAGCCACTTGGCGGAACTGGCCATTGTAGGAACTTCGGGCGGCCCTGTGACATCCGCCCGTTTGGAGTTCCGGTCACCAGTGGAGATGCCTTTGCTTCGGTTGGCAGAAGCAGGGCATCTGCCTTCAGCCCCGTCTCCGTACTTCCTGACCCAGGAAGCAGACCGCAGCATCCCTCCGCCTTTCCAAGCCGTTCCTGTCCACTTACCTGACTTCCCTCCTTTACCTCCCTTTCTTTGTTTATTTCTTTGGAAAATTCTGTCGTTTATCCTGACTCTAACCCCTTTCTCGATGCACAGTTCCATGTCAGGAGCTCAGCCGAGCTGTTTTGAGGCGTCAGAGTGGCCAGTTAAAGCAGCAGCCGAAATGAAGGTTGCTGAGCCTTTAACCGCACGCCGCCATGGTGCGAGCAGGAGCCTGACACGAGAAAGCGCCGACTGCCACCCCGTTCCATGTTTCCGGGACGGCTGCTGGTCAGGGCGAGGCAGGTCAGCACAGACGTGGGGTCAGCTCACTTCCCAGCAGCCCCGAATGAAGGCTCCTGCAGTTTGGTGGACTCTGGTTAGGAGGAGGGTGAGGCGGAATGGCCGGGTCACAACAGAAAGGTCTCCAGCTTCCCCTCCCCCACCCCACTGGGAGGTCCTGGCAGAGGCACGGAGAAAGGCTCAGATGAGGAGACCTAGGCCGCACAAGATCTTGGAAGCCAGGGCCTGCGGCCTGGACTGCAGCTCCTTCCGAGCCTGCAGTGAGGGCCCTGGCTGCACCCCAGCTCCAATGTGTGGATGGCAGCTTCCCCCATGAGGCCTGCCAGGTGGAGCCTCATCTTAGCTTGAAACTGTATGTGAATCACATAATCACCATCGTGGTCACAGCTCGGAATGGCGCCTCTCTCCAGAGAAACCCCGGAGTCTCGCCTTCTTGCATCCCTAGCCCCTGGCAACAGCGGATCGCTTCTCCATCTCTACGGTTTCGCATTTTCCAGAATGTCATGTAATGATATCCTTAGTATGTAACCTTTTGATCTTGACATTTTTCATTCATGTCTTCGAGATCCACCCACGTTTGTTCCTTCCTATTGCCGAGTGCTGTAACTGAATAGCATCCCACTGTGGGGACGCACCTGTCTCCTCCGTTCGCTTCTGAAAGGCATCTCGGGTGCTCTCAGTTTTTAGCAGTTGTGTTCATAGCATCCAGTTTTCGGGTGAGCGTGTGTTTTCAGTTCACTTGGGGATTACTGGGGTGTGTGGCAAGTCTTTGTTCAACATTACCTTCCAAAGTCACTATACCCTTTTGAGGTCCCGCCGTCAGTGCCCGAGCGTTGCTGTTCTGCACCCTTCCTGGCGTTTGTCAGTTTGGGGTTTTTTTATAATGTAAGCCATTGTATTAGGTATGTAATAGTATCTTTTTATACTTTGGATTTATATTTCCTTACTGACAAATGATGTTGAACATCTTTTCATAACGTTTATTTTCCACGCATATATCTTCTTAGGTGAAGTGTGTTTTACGCTATTTTTCTCATTTTTAATGGTGTTTGTTTCCTTATTGTTGAGTTTTAAGAGCTCTTTATATATTCCAGATAGAGATGCTTTCTCAGATAAGTGACTTGCAAATATTTTTTCCTAGTCTGTGCCTCATGTTTTCTTTTTCTTAACCATGTCTTTCACAGAGGAAAAAAAAATTGAATTTTGAAAAAGTCTAACATACTAATTTCTTAGACTGACCATGTGTTGGGTGTCGTATTTAAAACTTTGTTGCCTGTGTGACCCACCCAAGGTCACACAGGTTTTCTCCTGGAAGCTTTATAGTTTTCTGTTTCACATTTAGGTCTGCGATCCGTTTCGAGTTAACTTCTATGTGAGGCATCAGGTTTATTCTTTTGCTTATGGGTATACGGTGGTCCTAGCGCCATTTTTTGAAAAGACACCTTTCTGCATAGAATTGCTTTTACCTTTGTCAAAAATCAACTGAGCGTATTTGAGGGTGTCTGTTTCTGGGCTCTCCCTTCTGTTCCATTCATCTACGTGCCTACCTATTCACTAACATCAGCTTGTTTTAAGTGCTGTGGCTTCATGGGAGGTCACAGAATCAGGTCATGTGAGTCCTGTCACATTGTTCTTCTTCCAAATTGCGTTCGCTGCTGTAGTTCCTTTGCCTTTTATCCCATGCCTAAATGTCCTTCTTTCATGTAACACCTTACTGCCTCCGGCCTGAAAAGACAGAGTATCTAAAAACATGTTTTCTTTCTCCTCATCTTCATATTTCTAGCACCTGTTCTGGCTCTGGGTGCCTCAGTTGCTCAATATCTGTGTTCTAGAAGATACCTGAAGGAGCTAGCGAGATGGTCCTACTTGGGAACAGGATGACACCAGAGGGGGCGGCGTGCTTTAGAGTTGTAGATGTGTTTCTGGTTTTGATAGGGACTGAGAAACAGTCTGTCATGTAGCAGGTACAGGCCAGGCCTGGGGCAGCGGTGCTCAGAGAAGAACTGTTCCCAAATCCCATGTGCACCTTCCGGGCAAACGCTGTGGTTACTTAAAGAGAGCCGATTTCAGTGTCTCTTTCAGGGAATAGATAGGTGGAGAGATGAATGAAGTCACAGTGATAAATGTTTTAATAACATTTTTGTTTCTAAGGGTGCAGCGCATGATGAGGATGTTATATTAGTTAACCACTGCTGTGTAACAAATTACGCCAAACCTTAGTGGCTGAAAACACAAACATTCATCTCAGTTTCCGTGGGTTAGGAATCTGCCGGCCGCTTACCCTTTCGGTTCTGGTTCAGGTTCCACTGTGCCCCTGCGATCACAGTGTTGAGATGCGCTGTGCTCATCTCGCCATAGTGAGGGCGGCCCCAGCCAAGTTCACTTGCTGGGGCGTGGGCGGGCCCGGCTCCTTGGCTCCTGGGCCTCTCCACAGGGCTGCCTCGCAGCAGGCAGAGCAAGAGAGGTTCCCAGAGTGGAAGTACATCCTTCTGGAACCAATCTCGGAAGTGACGGTTATCACTTCTGTCTGCTCCGTTCCATCCAGTGGAAGTGAGTCAGTAAGTCCAGCCCCTCTTCAGGAAGGGAGGGTTAGCCAGAAGCTTGACTGGGAGTCGGAGGTCAGTGGGGCCAACGTCGAGGCTGCCTGCCACCGCAGAGAGGGAAGGCTGCATTCTACACGGAGTCGCTGCCCGTCTAACGGGATCGCGCTTCCCTAGATATCATTCGAGGACGTGGCCGTGGAGTTCACGCTGGACGAGTGGCAGCTACTCGACCCTGCGCAGAAGAACCTGCACAGAGACGTGATGCTGGAGAACTACAGCAACCTCGTGCTCCTGGGTAAGAACATCCTCGCGTGCTGCAGCCTGTGCCCCAAAACTGAGGGGCCCCCGAGATCTGTACTGATGGTGGATTTCAGCGTCAGATGGCCAACCCTTCGATTTATACACCCTGCTGAAGGATTTCTATTCGCATGCTTTATTTCATATCCTTCGTAGGTGCAAGCTCCCTATAGTTAGAGTCCCCCACCCCGCAGGCAGTGGTGTCCAGGCCCTGTGTTTTCAATCGACAGGCTGTCAGATTCTCAAACCTGGTGCAGTGTTCAAGCTGGAGCAAGAAGAGCCCTGGATGATAAATGCGGAGGTCCCGAGTCAGAGCTTCGCAGGTGAGAAATAATCAGGCGTGTGGCCTACAGTGAATGTCAATCCAGGTTTTCGATGATAGGTTAGCACTTTTGAAATGTTATTTATAAAACTGTGTTTAAAGTTCCTAAATCTTTCGAGTAGACTCGGGACTGGTGACATAGTTCTTCATGATTTTCAAAGTGCTCTGTATCCTGGTCTCCACATCAGGATGCGTCCTCTCTGCGTCGAGTCGATGCTGGAGTGTACCCCTCTCCACTGCGTAGCGCCACAAGTTGGTGGCTGGTGATTTAGGCCTTTGCCTTCGTGGATAAGGCTCTTCCTAGCTTCCTTTGTCCTTTCTTCTCTCCCGCCCATTCCAGCCTGCAAAGGCGGGCTTCTTCTCTCAAGAAATCAAATTTTTCTCATTTTAGGCAACACGGATTACCTTTGAGTTTCCTTTATTATTTTTCTTTTCTCTCTCGAGTTAGATTTCTTTTGTAAACCCACAGAGAGTAGAAGGTGAATCCCTGGCTCCAGGCCGACAGATGACCCCCTTAACGCAGCGAAGGGTCGTGCCCCTTTGCGGCCGCTGCAGACCCGGAACGTTGCAGTCAGCCTCCCGGGCACCTTCCTGATGCGGCTGGTGCTCAGCTCCTCTAAAGCGTCTCGGTCATCCGTCAGATAGTCTGCTGGGGTTTAGGCCCTCATTAGGGGCTGCGTGATGTTTCCCCTTTATGTCGAAGACCCTCATGGCGCAACATTTTATCTGTTCCGTTTCCAGCTCCTTTTGCTCTGGTTTCTTCCTCAGAATGTTTCGTGCATTCCTCCTCTGCAGATGGCCTCTGATCGTAGCGTGTGCCTCTCTTCGGCGTGAGCTCTTTCACCTCTAGCGAAGGGACCTTGTCTCCCGGCCTTTTCCGGAACCTCTGCCCATTTAGCATTGTTACAGGATTTACGTGGAATTCCGTAACCTAATTATTCCTAATTGGGCCTTAGGGTTTTTCCCACACTGAAAGATGGCCAGTAACGCCTTCTTCTCTGTTCTCTATGGCATTCGTGATGTATAATTATTAACTATTTCATTATTACTTGTTGTGGGGCCAGGCAGGAACTTTCTTATTCATCACATATTTCTTTAGAACAACGGTTTTCATCTAACCTTGAGAAGTCTATCAAATTACTGATGTCTAGGCACCATTCACATGGATTATTAGGCTACGTATGTGAAGTTTAGGAAAGCGGTCAATATAATTCTGTGTTCCACCCTTTAAAACCGCTGCTGTTATGTGGAATGAGAGAAATCGAGAGAATATAAGAGTCACGAACTAACCTTGTGGGACCAGAGAATTTTAACATAAAATTCAAAACTATAAAATATTCAATAATTCCACATTTGAACTTACAGCATTTATGTTAAAATGCAAAGCTAATTATCAGGATTGATGCTAGAGAAAGGAACTGCTTTAGAAGTTTAGAGACAAGTGAATCGTATCTGTCCCACACATATTGAGGGCTTGTTATGTGACTGAAAAATACAAACCTGGCCCCTGCCCCGGGGCTTTACGTTCTCATGGGCACAGAAGTGAGATGGTTACCTATCGATAAGCACTATGAAGAAAATAGGATATTCGTTAGTGTGCCTTTAAAACGATGTTGAGACTTGAGTGAGCCACGCACGCCAAAAGCTGGGAAGAGCACGTCAGATAGGAGGAACAGCAAATGCCAAGGTCGTAAGGCAGGAAAAGGGTCAGAGGAATGGTAAGGAATTCAGCGTGGCTGAGGAGTGATGAGCAAGAGCGTTGTGAGGGGAAGTCAGCGAGGATGGAAGAAACCAGGTCATGCCAGGGCGCGAGAGCCACGATAAAAGTTCGTGTTTCTCAAAGGTTTTGGTTTTCTTTTTAAGCCATGGAGTAGAAAGGTCTGATTGCATTTTCTAAAGATTACCGGCTGCTGCGTGGAGACTAGAATGGGGAGGGAGCAAGACTGGAAGTAGGAATATCAGTTTGAAAATAGGATGAAAGGACGGCAGTATTTACTAGAGTGTAACAGAAACATAACTGGGAATTTACACCTGTACCCGTCCCGAAGAGAACACCAATAAAAGATGGTCCATTTGTTTTCCAAAATAACAATACTTTCTTTTTTATTTCTTAAAGATTTCTTGATACAGTTGAACTACTTCAATATTGTTTTATATCGTTTACTTTATCAATTTAGATATATATTTTATTTCTCAATTTGATTTTAACTTAAAATTTTATTTTTCTTTACTCTCAAATTTCATGAATCAACTTTTTATAAACTCTTCAAGTGGATCTCATGTCTACATGTGACTCTTGCTTTTAATCGCCAAACTCGTTTCCACACTCTATTCCATCTCAATAAATAGCATTATCATCTCCACTCGAGCTCAAAACGTTGATCTTTTAGTCTCCTTCATATCAGCAGCTCTAGTTGGGTCTCTGAAATTCTGATATGTCTGAGAATTAGATGAGTGTTTTTGGTCCTCACCCCCCCGCCAAAAAAACAGATGATCCCACAGAAGAGGAGTAGTTGCCTTATATGTGAGATCTTGCCAAATCTTGCATCTTGCAGAGTACTTCCTGGGGGTATCACCTCACAACTGCTAGTAAACACACCTTTAAAAATCATCTTAAAATATTCGATACATGGTAATATTGTGGAAATCGGAAACGATTGTACTTATTCTGTCTTAATCTTACGCAAAGAATTCTCGTGGTTTGGAATAACTTCCATTAATAGCATTATACATAATTCAATATGTAAATTATAGATTCAGTTAAAAAGTCAAAAAAAGAAAAAAACGGGAAAAAAAAAAATCAGTGTTGCACTCTGGAGAACTCTTGGATAGTTCCAAGAATTCGCTTTAATGATGGCGCGGTTACCGATACCAGTGATTCAGGTGACGATCTGAATGAGAATGTTTGTTCAGTGTAACGATCGTACAGAAAACTAATGTTTCTCAGCTTTCATGTGTAAAGTTGACATCCTGCGTTTACTGTGCACTGTGTTCACTATGATCCTTCATAGCATTCAACAATGCGTGTGATCTTGCTCTTTTGTGGACTTGTTATTCTCAGTCTTCTCTGTATTGTAAGCCCTCTGATGGTGCATTGCTTACCTGTCTTCTTCCTTGAGCTTCTGCTACTAACAAGTTCTGGATACACGGTAGATAATCAGTAGATTAAAGCTGAATAAGTAAGTTAACCACCCCAGTCTTCCATTAGAAATTGCTCCAGTCTTTGTTATCTCGTGATCACTGTTCCTTGAGTATTCATCTTTCCTTATTTAAAAATTCATGTTTATAAACATTTGTAAATTTAAAATGTTTTCATTTCTGTTAAAGATGTTAGTACCCAATAAGTAGGCAGTTTATTTAGGAGATTTTTTTTGGGGGGTGGGGGCGGGGGGACTGAGATCAGAGGCTCCATTTCAGAAGTATTATTTAATAAGCATAATCATTGGGAGATTGACACAGTATGGTTCATTTTTTTTCCTTTTTAGAAGAACTCTGGCTAGATAATAATCTCATAGTGCGGCACCAGGATCATCAAGACAAGCTTAAAAGTATGGAGCAAGTCCATGAATATGATGTTTTTCGGAAAATATTTCATTCAGACATTAACGCTGTTCATTTAGGAATGAGACCCTATAAATGTGGCACTGATGAAAAACCTTTGAAACACCCTTTTGATTTTCTTATTCCAAAAAATGACTGTGGAAGAAAGAAACTTGAGCTCAATAAGAAATCGTTATTCTGTGTCAAACCCGACAGAACCCATGGTGGAATAAAATGCTGTGACTGCAATAAATGTAGAAAAGCCGGCAGTAAACAGTCATGGCTTATTCCAAACCATGTAACACATACAGGAGTCTGTTTATGCATGGAATGTGGAAAAGTTTTTAACAAGAAGTCACAGCTCATTATACATCAGAGGACTCATACAGGAGAGAAACCCTATGGATGCAGCGACTGTGGAAAAGCCTTCTCGCAGAAGTCATTGCTCACTATTCACCAAAGGACTCATTCAGGAGAAAAACCATACGGGTGTGGTGACTGTCCCAAAGCTTTCAGTAGGAAGTCGCTGCTCATTCTGCATCAGAGAACTCATACGGGAGAGAAGCCCTATGTATGCAGCGAGTGTGGAAAAGCCTCCAGCAGGAAGTCACAGCTTAAAAGACATCAGCTAACCCATACGATAGAGAAACCCTATGGCTGCAGCGACTGCGGGAAATCTTTCTCCCAGAAATTAAAGCTCATCACACATCAGAGAACGCATACGGGAGAGAAACCCTATAACTGTAGTGACTGTGGAAAGGCCTTCTTTTGGAAGTCACAGCTCATTACTCATCAGAGGACTCATACGGGGAAGAAACCTTATGCGTGCAATGAGTGTAAAAAAGCCTTCAACAGGAACTCACTTCTCATTAGGCATCAGAGGATTCACACAGGAGAGAAGCCCTATGAATGCAGTGAATGTGGTGAAGCCTTCATTAGAAAACCACAGCTTGTTAGACATCAAATAACTCATACAGGAGAGAAGAACTACCAGTGCGGTGATTGTGAAGAAGCCTTCTTTAAGAAATCAGAGCTGATTAGACATCAAAAACTTCATTTAGGAGAGAAACCCTATGGGTGTGTTGAATGTGGAAAAACTTTCTTTGGGAAGTCACAGCTCCTAACACATCAGAGAACTCACACTGGAGAGAAACCTTATGAGTGCAGTGAGTGTGGGAAAGCCTTTACCCAGAAATCCAGCCTGATATCTCATCAGAGAACTCATACAGGTGAGAAACCCTATGAATGCAGTGAATGTGGGAAAACCTTCAGTGAGAAGTCAAGTCTCATTCATCATCAGAGAACCCATACTGGAGAAAAACCCTTCGAATGCGGTGAATGTAGGAAAGCTTTTGCCTGGAAGCCACAGCTTCTTAGGCATCAGAGAATTCATACAGGGGAGAAACCCTATACATGCGGCGACTGTGGGAAGGCGTTCGTTCAGAAAGTGCAGCTCATCAAGCATCAGAGAAATCACACAGGAGAGAAAGCCTACGGATGCAGTGATTGTGCAAAAGCTTTCTTCGAGAAGGCGCAGCTGATTATACATCAGAGAATTCATACAGGAGAGAGACCCTATAAATGTGGCGAGTGCGGGAAGTCTTTCACTAGAAAGTCACACCTTATGAGGCATCAGAGAATTCATACAGGAGATAAATACTATGGATGCGGTGAATGCGGGACTACCTTCAGCAAGAAGTCACAGCTCGTGATCCACCAGAGAAATCATATAATATAGAAACCACATGAGAGCAGTGAGTATGGAAAGCCCGCTAGCAGATGTCGTGCCTCTTAACACGTCTGAGGACACACAAAGGAGAGAAACTCTATCGATGCAGTGACTGTTGAAAAATTTTATTGGCAAAGCTCACTAAAACAGAATTCAGAAAGGGGAAAATTTTTAGGTAGACAATATAAGAAAGCCTTCTCTCAGAAAACAAACTTATTACAACATTGATGAATTGTACTGTGATAGTATAGAACCTTTCGGTCAAAAGTGAAAGCTCATTAAATATTTAGATGACCTACCTAAACACGGGAGACACTATTGTCATGACAAGTGAGAGAAAGATTTAAGGAAGGGTAACTCACAGTATGCTAGAGAATACATACATAGAGGGAATGCTGAGTATTACAGATTGCAAAATAAGAATTTGAAGAATTCGATAAGCATGATCTCATTGAAGTACTTGTATAAGGAAGTTGTGTTTGTCGTATACATAGTATTATAAGATAGTCATTTTAAAACGGCAGGTGTGTTTTAAGTGCGAAGACTTCTGCTCTCTGCCATGGTAGTATAACCAGGACTGTATTAACCCTCCTGCCTTAAGCAGCTAAAAGCTGCAAGATGTATATGAAATGATGACTTTTAGACATGTGACAAGCACAGGTTTGTGTTTCCTGGCGGAAGGTGGACAAAGTGGCGGCAGTTTCCAGGCTGCGGTTCAGGGAAGGGAACAAACGTGGTCTCGCTGAATTGGCAGTTGGGGAGGCCACAGTAGCTAGAACTTGCAGAGAAAAGTACTGAGAGGAAGAGCTCCCTAGGGAGAGAGCTGCAGGAGTCGTCAGGGACCCGCCTTGGTTCTTCGGCCCATTACAGATTTGCATATGTGAGAAAGGAAACTTCCTGAGACCAGGAAGAGGAGGCTGGGACTCAGCACAGGGCTGAGGATAGTTCACGCCTCCACCAGCCAGTGTGGACATCACTTTTCACACATGGGCATCGAGCAGAATTCCCAGCAGACCGTCGCCTTAGTAGTGAGGATAATTCGCCCCAGATTAAAAGCTGCCCCGGCCCCACAATGTCTGGCACCCAGAAACTTGCCTGGCATGCAAAAAAGCAGGAAAGTGTGACTTGTAACCGGAAGTCAGCAGAAAGAGACTGAAGTGTTTGGAACTAGTAGACAAGGGTGTCTAACTATTATGAAGGTAATGTAGAGGAAAATGTGAATTTGATGAAACTTGAAGTGGAAGGTATATTTTTAAAAGCCCAAATGTAACTAACTTCTCAGGATGAGAACAATAACTTAAAAAAAAAAATGTGGGTGGAATTAAGAACAGATTAGACATAGGAGAAAACAAAACTAATGAACTCGAAGAATAAGAAGAAAAAATACTCAAATCCAAATGATGTACTCAGAGGAAAAAGATGGGAGAGGAGAATAGGAAATCCATTACGGTGATGTAGTATGTGTAACTGGAGTCTCAGAGGAGGAGAGAGAGGAGGCAGGAAAAAAAAGTATTTGAAAAAATACTGGCTGAAAATTTTCCACATATGGCAAAAAGTATGACTCCACATACTCAAGAAGCTCAAAGAACCCCAAATAAAGAAAACTGCCAGTGGACGTCATGTCAAATTGATGAAAACCAATGAGAACAATTCTAAAGCACCTGGAGATAAAAAGACAAAATACACAGAGCAAAGGATGACAGCACACTTCTGGTCAGAAACTGTGCAAGCTGGAAGACAGTGGGGTGACATCTTTAAATTATTGGCAGGGAAAAACCCTGCAACCTAGAGTGCTATTACCCATCAAAAACATCTTTCAAAATGAAATCAAAAGATGACTTCAGAAAAACAAAATCCCAGATCATTTATCACCTGCAGACCTGCCTTCAGGAAACGCTGAAGGAAATTCGACGGCAGCAGGAAAATAACACCTAGTGGAGACCTGAGATCTGCAGGAGGCGAGGAAGAGTTCTGGAAATGGTGAATATGTGGGTAAATAGGAAAGTTTTTTTTCTCATTTTAAAGCCTTTTAAAAAGATAATTGACTGGTTAAAGCCCAAGAAATGGCGTATTTGGGGTTGTGCTGTATTTGGAGGTAAAGTGTAGCCCGTAAGTATGGGTCTTCAAAAACAGTTGCACAGACCGCACGTCCAGCACCTGTCTCCGCGGCCGGGGCGACTTGTGTCGTAGCAGCTGCCCGGCATGAGCTGTCTGGGCTGGACCTGGCCAGGTGCTGCCCGTTCTCCGCGCCGCCACGTCCCCCGCGGACTGCTTCGCTAGCGTTTCCGCGTTCGTTCGTGTGGACGTGGCAGGCACTAGCCCGGGACCCACGCGAGGGAGCCCGGGGAGGCTGCCGCGTCTGCCCCGGGAGGCCGCAGCTCCCGTTGAGCGGCCCGGCTCTCCGTTCCCGCCGCCCCTCCCCGTGCCCCTCGGACTTAAGGGTGATAACTGCCTCCGGCTGCGCTGCCATCCCCGGCTGGTTTCCATAACCCCGAACTCCCATCTGTAAGAAGTCCTTTTGTTCCACGTCCCGCGTTCGTACTCGGAGTGTACCATTTTTCTGTGCCGCATACTAAGTGATGCGCACTTAAATTTGAGCGTCAGTTGTGTGTGATAGGGCACAGACTGGCATCTCTCAGGACTCCCCCACCTCAAATATCAGGCTTTTCTCTCTGCGTTTTAACAACTCAGTAGAAATTACCACCAATATCGAAGTTCTTTGTGTTTTTCGTTCTGTTTTGCTGCAAACGTCAAAGGCTCGGGCGGTCGCTGCTGTCTGTGACCGCGGGGGGTGCTGCGGTTTTATTACTAACCCTCCTTCCGTGATAAAACCAAATCCTTCACCAAGGCTTACGCTACCCCTGGGTTAGCCTAACAACTCACCAGAGAGCGTTGTCATTTATGTTACATGTGGACAAGAAAAAAATGGTGACCCATTACCGAGCGGTAAAGGAGGGATGGACCACACTTCCCAGAACGCTCATTGAAAAATATCCTCGTTCTGTATTCAGCTGTTTTTTTATGTGTGATTCATGTCAACTGTAACCGTGGACAACACGTTTCATTTCAGTAGTCAGCATGACTACAGAGAGCCCCCTTCAAAGGGGACACCAGTTCCCATCACAGACCATGCCAGAAAGAACATCAGCTTTTCAAAGATCAAACCAGAGTTGCTTCACCTATAAGCTCACAGAGCACAGTGAGGTTGAAACAGACTCTCAGAGAAGGCCAGTGCAGACAGCACCATATTGTCATTCGTCAGACACCTCTCCGAGCAAGTTCAGCTCTCCTCAGCCTCCCCCGCAGCAGGTCTCTCCATCGGGCGGGTGAGCCTCCCTTGGAGGGAGGATCGCATCAGGCTGCACCGCAGGATCTCCCCTTCCGGCTGGACTTGCATTTCCAAGGACCTTTTCATACAGGTTTTCCATTTTGTGTAACTCCAGGAGGCACCATTCACAATGTAGTGTGTGTTAATGAACTTGTGTCTCACGCAGGTCCTACCTTTAAGGAATTAGCTAGCAAATGAAATAGTTTGAGACTCGTGCACGACTGGAATGCAGCATAGTGACAGTCGCCTGCGTGGCTTCTCTGCAGTGGCACTGTGTGACTTGAACGTGGTGGTAGAATGGTTTCCACCATCGGATTCACCCCGCCCCTTTTGTCTGCCACATAGTGACGGGTAAGGCCATTCTCACTGTCTTCATCTTAGAAATTTTTAGTTATCTCACAACGCGTGTCTGCAACTTAGAAGCAGGCGGTGTGACATCTCACGGTCACCTCAAAAGAATGACATTTAAGTGAGTTACATCTAAAGTATGCTTCCCCTGAGTTGTATAGTCACCTCCCAACACTCAGACCCCATCGCCACATCAACGCACATGCCTCAATAAGTCAGTTTGTTCTGAGACCAAATCTATGAATCTGGGGATGCTTCTAACCATTCTTTCCTTTGTGGGTTCTTTGCAACTTGGGTCACAGTTATTGTTCATTGTATCCAGGTAGTCTTGACATCTTGTCATTGAGACTGTTACTTTCAAAATGTTAAGGTTAAATAAGTCAGGAAATACCAAATTTACTTAGTGCCTAATTACCGAAATCATTCTTAGGTATTTATCAATATATAAACTGTTAAAGGTGCCCAACAAGGACACAGTAGCTCTAGAAGCAAGTCACTGCCGAGATGAAAGGAAGGGAGAAGTGACATTTGTAATTTGAGGTTCTCACGTGAAGCATCCCTATCATTAAATTTACTTAAAAAAACCATCGAGCTCAGACTTAAGAAAAGAAGGGGGAAGCAGGTCAACTTCCTGGTGTTTGTTGATCATGAGAAGGTGACAATTAAACCATGGACTGCTGCCACTGCAGCAATCGAAATGGCAGCATGGGTTCATCCCCAAAGCATGGTCACAGGGCAGCTCTGAGGGCACGCGCACGTTACGTACCGTCATCCTGTGTGTAGCACATTTGTATGAAGCAGAACGTGTGGAGCGATGGTGCCTGAGATCTGAGACCAGCCGTGCGTCCCGTACAGGGTGGGGTAAATAGCTGATGACGAAGGTCGGACGGCTCTTCCTTGTGAGGCGCACTGAGCTGCTGCTGTGTGGAGATCAGGGTGCCCGGGGGGCGTGCCAGGTCAGACCGATTGCTGACACTTCCCTCTGTGCTGTTTGAAACTCTGTACCCACGTTTGCCGAGTAAACTGCCTGACGAATGATGCGTGTGAGTGTGGTCATTGGGAACAGGGAACCCCAGCTTCCCCCCAGCTCAGCTTCCCAAACTGCATCTGAATTCTCGCCGGTCCCGTTAAAACCCGATGCACCTAGACATAAAGCGGAAAGCACCGCTCGGTGCCGTCGTTGGCGTCGACTCAATGGGCTGCCAAGCCCTTCGCTCACCCAGCTGGAGCTGAGGTCCCTGCCGAGGGAAGACAGCTGCTTTTTGCGGACTTAATTTGGGGGCGCCGACCCTCTGAGGCTTAAAAGAGGAGAATACTCAGCCGGACCAAGAACTGAGTTTGGAAGAGGAGCAGACAGGAGGCACAGCACGCGAGCTTTACCCGCACCGCCCGGGCCTTCTGCAGAGGGTCCGGCAGGACCGAACAGGTGGGACCCTCGGCACTACCGCCTCATCAGAATCCCCGCTGAATCCCCTGCCGCAGACGGCACGGCGGCAGCGCCAGGCCTGGACTCCGCGTACCCGCGTCTGGTGCGCTGCCTGGGGACACAGGTGTCCCCGGCCTCCTCTGTCTCAATGCCTCCCACCCCACTAGCGTACGCGTCAGGTCCCTGCTTCAATGCCTGAGTGTACGTGTAAAGTTGCAGTTTCTGCCTTGTCGAGAGGGCTTCTGATGAGAATGAGAAGCCACCGCCCCACGCTGACGCCATGCCACCTTTCGGGGTCTTGTGCGAGGTCAGCTCTGTGCTCGGTGCTTTACGTGTTCTCTGTGCGGTCGGCGCACCGCTCGCCCTAAGGCACTTCGTGCACCAGGTGGCGGAACTGGGCCTGAGCCCCTCCACCTCCCTAGAAGCAAAGCGCCCTTTACGATGCTATTATTTAGGCTGTATTCCTCCCTGTTTCAAACAGCGAATTTCTTTAGCTCAAAGTCCTTGCGTTTACGAATTTCACAGTCTAAAGCCAGGAACACTGAGGTTCTGAGAAAGTTGGGAGCACAAGGGGCGCCCCTCACGCGCCACTAGTCATCTCACTACGGTGTGCTTTCTGACATAGCGCGCTTCGGGGGCTCCAGATTCCCAGTCTGTGACATTAAAACGGGACGACAGTAAGTGGTCTTACTGTACCCAGCCCACGCTCCTGTCCCTCGAGCTGGGAATCAGGGGCTCCCCTCCCCACTGCGAGTTCAACTGCCTAGCCTGCTGACCAAAGCCATAGTCTGTCCTTCCGGCCACAGTGACTGCCCAGGTCCGGGGCACGTGACTCAAGAAGTGTATTTCCAAGACTATGTGAACAGATTCTGGGAGGAGTGGCACCCCCTTGGGTTTTAAAACTAGAAAACGGAGCTGCTCTTGTCCGTCCTACTTGTAGGGAGAACCTCGTCTTCAGGGCGAAGGGTTCCGAGACAAAATGAAGCGGAGGAACAGAAAAGTGAGTGGGTAGGACAACAGTCCCCGCGGTGTCGTCTGAGGTATGATCCATTTGCCCCTGAGGTTATCTCCACCCTTGGATTTTCTGTTTGTTCCCCAATTTATTTTCTTTTCTGCTTTGGTTGCAGCCTGTCTTTTGCAACCAAGAGTTCTGACTAACGTAGGTATGGCAGCTGCCTTAGCTATTTCCAGGTTCTTCATAAGACCAAAGTTAAAAAAACAGTGCACAGGCCTCTTTTTTTCATTTTTTTATTGTGCTAATATATAACAAAATGTACCATCTTAACTATTTGTAAGTGAACAATTCAGTATTATAATGTGCAAACATCACTACTATCCGTCTCGAGCACTCTGAAATGACACCCAGTAAGCCAGGGCTCCCTCTGGTCCCCGCCACATGCTGTGGCCAGGGGGAAGGGGTGGGTCACAACCTCACCGCAGGACTTCACCACCGTGGGAATGAGGCCATGCTTGACACTCCATGGGGTTCTTTCTTTTCCACACCAGAGCCAGGAAGTTCTGGTTTCAAATGCTTTCCAACGGCAGTTTATCCTGCTACATACCCAGATGACATTTTTGAGAAACACATTTTTACTTTACATGCTCATTTTCTGGTCTGACCAGTTTTAGGATGTCCACTAAATGGTCCTATGGAGTCTGTGTCTGGACATTTTTGGCAGGTCCCCATCTGACACCAGTTGCACCGGCCACAGTGCCGTGCACTGCACCCACACCCTCCATGACGTGCTTCTCCTGAGAACAGAAGCGGGATCTATGGGAAATCCTGAGTTGGACTTTTCTCCCCTGCGAGGTAAAAATTCTGAATTGTGCTGACTTCTGCTGCTGTTCTGTTGGCCACAGAGCTGGCAGTCTGCTGACTTCTTCAAACGCTCAAAAGGAGCCCAACAAATAGGATTAAGGCTCTTTCTCCACTTACAGAAGTACTTCTACTTGTCTTAATTTGTCACAAGACCAGTGGCCTCAATTTTATGTAAACCTCTCATTAAAGAGAAGATACGAGTAGAGAACATTTTGTGTGACAGCTCACAAACTCATTCGCCAAGTGCATAAAGGGTCATCAAAACTAGCCATTACTCTCTCAGTCCTGTACATAGACTTTAACTGACCGAGTAAGGAACGAGACCTTAGAGCTGCTCCTTTGTTCAAGACACAAAGCGCACCTTATCACTAATACCATGTCGGGCATTAGTTATTACTCTTTATGGACGAATAAGCCATTATTGACTACCAACGTTGCCGGTTGTGCTCATTCATGAGTCTGGATTTGGCCCAGACTGTCAGAAATCCATACGGTCTGTCCAAAGTATCAAGGAGTGGCTGGCACGAGAACTGACAAGTATGTTGATGATGACATATGCTGTCGGTGTGTATGAACACGTACAGCTTTAGTTCATGAAACACTTCATATGCCACCTCATTTAACATCTACTAAAAAAACACATTGGATATTATGTGTATCATTGCTTTTTTTATATAAACTTTTAGTTTTGAAACAAGTCTAGACTTAGAAAATTAGGGAGCTCCTGTATCTCCTTCCCTTGGCTCCCCTTAGTGCTACCATCTGGCAGACCCCGAGGACGAACTGCGCAAGACAGCAAGTTAACACTGGCACAACACAAGTATCTAAGCTGTGGGCTTTGTTCACCTTTCGCTAATGTCCCTAGGACATTACAGGGACCTATGTGACATTCGGTTGCCTCCTTAGGGTCTTTTTGTTCTTTATTTTTGAGGCTGACAGAGGTACGTGATTTTCCACAGTTTGAGAAGGTCAAGTATTTCAAAACTTGACAATACTAAAATTCAGTTTCCAAGTGGCATTCGCTTTCCATGCATGATGATGCACCCTCTGCACCACCCCTATCTGAGGCAGAGTCGGTTTAACAGTAGTGCTGGGAGGTCTCTTTGGATGAGAGAAGAAAATCCACGTGGCAGACTGACATTCTGAACTGCGTGAATTCTGCTGGACCAAACCTTCCAGTGAAAGACGGAGTTTGTTCCTCAGGGTCCACACTGACAGGGTGGCTGCTAGATCTACTGAGGTTTGGGTGTCACTTCAGTGTTGGGTGTCTACAAAAGTTACAGTGAAAAACTCTACAAACCGTAATTGTACCTTCTACAATTTTTAAGATCTATATTTATTAATGTCCTAATCTTTGTAGCTATGACTTTTTCACGATTGTCCACTGACTAGAGAAATAACATTTACTCAAGTAGATATTTCTTATAATGTCAGATACAGATCAATACTTCCTATTAGTTAAACAAACAGATCAATGTTTTAAACAAAACTGGTTGAATGTGAAATATTGTACAAGTCTGAATAGCACCAAGGTAAAGAATTTAGCATGTAACGCCTCACTGAGGTTACAGACTTCAAATCTACCTGCGTCTTTTCTTTGTGGCCAACGATTTCAATTGTCATTTGAGACATTTGCCTCTCAGCAATGGCATTTTACTTTTGCTTACATTTTAACAAAAATATGTCCCCTTACTTCATTAGCTGCTATTTCTATAAATATAGGAATTGGGGAGATTTTCATAGGTATCTATGAATTAATAAATTTTTTCAACATGTAAAACTGTATTATCATCTTTCCACCGCAGTACCTTACCTACCGGTAATAATGGCCAAGTTTATTGGCAAAACTTCAGGTTTTCTTTTCCGAGTCCCCACTCTGCGAGCAGCCGGAGCTGTGGTCCTGTTTCAGGAGGACTCAGGAGGGCAGCATGACTGCTGCTCTGGTGGCACCATTTGCACACACCAGGAAACTACTAATCTGCATAAAATCCCCACACACAAGATCCCCTCCAACTATCCCTGCACTGTCCCCCTCACCCAGTGAAATGACATGAACGTGTCACCTTGTTTCACTGATTCACCATTTAGCCAATAATTTTCATTCATTCAATAATTTCATTGTTATAATCAATAAGCCTTCCATCTACCTTGGCATGCCTTCCTTCCCCCACTCATTGTTTGGTTGTTTTTCTTGAGGCTGAGAAACGGCCTGGATAAGCAGGGATGAAGCTTATTTGAAGAGTAATGCCCCAAACTACACTGCAGAACTGGCAGTGTGGAAAGTAAGGTTTTTTAAATATCACCGTCGGTCTCCCACCAGTTTGCACAAAAAGTGACCGCCGCCATAAGATTGCCACTAACACCACAGCGGAACAGAGCGCTGACAGGAAAGTTATCGCCCCTCCTAGCCCCGCCCACCCCATCAGGAAATGGGCGTTTAGGCCATTCTCACATATGTGGAATCTGAAAAACAAAACAAAAATGGAGCTCATAGACAACAGAGAACGGACTGGTGGCTGCCAGAGCTGGGGTGGGGGATGGCCAACAGGAATGAAGGTGGTCAGAAGGTACAGATTTCCGGTTCTCAATAAGTCTTGGGGACGTAACGTACGGCATGGGAACTATGTAATGATACTGTACTGCATAACTCGCAGCTGCTAAGAGAGTAGATCTTAAAAGCTCCCATCAAAGAAAAAATTTATAACTGTGTGGTGATGGGTGTTAACTAGATTTACTGTGGTGATCATTCTGCAATATACACGAATACTGAATCACTAGATTGTGTGCCTGAAACTAATGTCATGTCAATCATACCTCAGTTTAAAAAAGAGTACAAAATATAATAGCTTCAAAAACAAAAAGAGACTCATATAAACAGCCATATTCAAGGTTAATTATCAAATACAAACTGCTTAGTTACGGTAACTAACATAAATGATTCAAACGACCTTGTATTTAAAGTTGGTGCTGTGTTAACTTAAATGGATGTTGTCTGAGGTCTCATAAATGGAAAAAGGGTTTCCCCCTAAAACGATCATTAGTTATATTTTCTACTGAAGTTAATTAATTCATCATGGGCAGTATTTTTTCCTCGTAGAAATCACGCTCACACAGTATGCAGAATAACAATCAGTGCACAGATAAGCGCTAATTATAGATGTAACAGTAGCTTCTATTTTACCTCATCTCCTACTCTTCTGCTAAAGCACGTTAAAGAAAATACAACGATCGCGGCATATCATCCCTAATTTTAGTATTATCTCTGAAAAAGAGAAATTTTCCTACATAACCACGATATTTTAACTACATCCAAGAAAATCAACAATGGCCTCATATTATCCAACAGCGAAGAGAACATTTTTCAAGACGAAATCACTCTTGTAAAAAGAGGAATCACCGTATACCTAGGATCCAACCTGGGGAGGTTATATTTAAATACTTAGTAATCTGTAACAGTTTCCTTGTGCGATACAACAAAATGAACGGCTCTTGTGAAAGAAGAAATGAATTGTTTTTCCCCGCATTAAACCGTAAGAGTGGATAGGACTGACTTGAAATGACGATACTTGCAGTCGTGTGCGGCGCTATGGCAATGGGGTAGAAATGTACCTTAAGTTTGAACACGACTCCTACTTTCTCCTGGGAATCTGTCGGAATTGCAAACTTCACGTGCACCTGCGCGCTTCCGACGCGGCTTTCAGAATTTGCGTCGGTGCCCAGGCCCCGCGTTGCCCCGTCCCATTTGCCCGGACTGAACATGGAGCCGACCGCAGCTGCTTTGGGGATCCCGGAAGACACGGTCGTCCCGGCCAGCACGGAAGATGGCGCCCGGGCCCGCAGCCGCGCATCTGCGCACGCTCCGCCACCCGCACGCGCCGCTCTCGATGGCCGCTCCGGGCTCCACTCTAGCCGCGGCGCTCGCGGGACGCCACCGCCAGCCAATCGCAGGGCGCGGACGCCGCTGGCCCCGCCCTCCGGATCAGCTGAGGGCTGCGCGATGTCTGTTGACAGCGGCCGCGGCGGGCGGCCGG